ATATATATACATCTAACCAAAAAACCCAAACCCACTGCCATCAACCCAATTCTAACCCATAGCAACCCCCATTGGGTTTCCCAGGCTGTAAATCTTTAGTAGATTGCCGCATTTTCCTACTGCTGAGCAGCTGGTGGGTTTGAACCACCGCCTTGCTGGTTAGCAGCCAAATGCCTTACCCACTATACCAACACACATGCACATATACACAAGTGCACACATGGACATGCACACATGTACACATATGTATTTATATATTTACTTTAGCTTTATAAAACACTTTTAAACCCTCTATTCCAAAATCCAGATACAAGCCTGTTTAGTTTTACATCCCTAGAGATAATTATTTAATCCTGTAGAAAGAAATGCAATAAAGAGTGCTTACTCTAAAATCAACTCAGCCATATAGCAGATTAAACCAGTAATAACATGCTCTATGAATTGTTTTTATCCTTTATCATATATTGAAATAACTAAGACTAATGACATTTTAACTGTTTTTATACATGTCCTAAACTTCTTATTCTGTGAAAAGTCTGTTTTGAGGTTTATTATTTCAATGGTGATGGTTACATTTCTCGAGAGGAAATATTTGACATGTTGAAGAACAGTCTGCACCACCAGTCATCTGAAGAAGAGACTGATGAAGGAATTAAAGAATTGGTAGAAATAACAATGAGGAAAATGGTAAGAATGATATATTGTAATACATTCATCACATGGATGTTGTACAAATCTAAAAATGAAGTAATTTCGTTTCTTCCATGGTGAATGAATGGGTTAAAGGATTAACCCATCCTCATGTAGATTAACTCATCTTCATGAGGACAGGAATTTAATGATTCTGTTCTCTGCTTTATCTAGTGCCTAGAACAATATGTGGCTCACAGTAGGTCCTCAATAAATATTTATTGAATGGGTGGGCTGACTGAATAACAATAAAAAAATGAATTTACTTTAAAATATTTTACTACCAATAAAATCTCATTAATTTGAGGAGAGGTTAGATTTCAATTTGTGTAAAATCAGATGCTAGTCTGTCGTCATTTCACCCCTCCAGTCCACCAAAACACATTGTAACAAAATAACACAATAAAACTCACTATAATAGAGGGCTTACTAGATGCTAGGCCCTTCTTTTTAATGTATTAACTCATTTTATCCTCAGAACCACTATATGAAGTTGAAACTCTAATCTCCATTTGTAAATAAGGAAACTAAATTCAGATAATTTATCCAAAGTCATGCTAGAAAATGAGGTAGAGAATTCATCTTTAAAGAAAATCTACACTCTATCATCAATGTAGTTATTCTCCAAAATTGCGTACCAGTGAGGTTTTGTGAGTTGAGGGCTGCCAGGCTCAGCTCACCTCTGGGGTTGAGGACAGAAACATGCTGGGGCTGCTGCTTCAGTCTCAGACTCCGCTTCCTCAGCCCCCTCCCTTGGGCCCCTCACTAGCCACTTGCAGGGCTGAGGGCAAACTTCTTGAAAGACAGTATGATCCCCAGTACACCCACTCATCCCTTACTGTCTGAAAGGAAATGTTATGGAATGAACCTTTTTCTGACATTTATTAAAACATTTCTCTAGATTAGACTGTCATCAACCCTGATGTGGTTATGCCCAGAAGTTAAGAACCCATCAAATCAAATCCATATCAATTAAGTAAAAGTGTTAATAATTTAACTCCCTCCTTGCCCAACACATTCTATTTAACTTCCCATAGTCCTTGTCCTGGGAGCTCTGGTGGCATAGTGCCTAAAGCATTTGACTGCTAACCAGGAGGCTGACAGTTCAAACCCACCAGCCACTCATTGGAAGGAAGATTGGGCAATCTACTTCCATAGTGATACTGCCTTGGAAACCCAAGGAGGGGTTGCTATGAGTCAGATCCAACTCGATGGCAGCGAGTTGTTTTTTTCAGTCCTTGTCCTGAGTGTTGCACTCCAGGCAGGTCTATCATCTTATACCTCTGCTCCTTCTCATCACTCCAGTTAGGCCACACTTCTGCATTACTCCCACCTCACCCAGATCCCAACCAACCTTAATGGCCCATCTGTGGTCTGCAAGGCTTTTTCTCATGACTCTAGCTCACTGAACTCTTCCTGCTGTATCTCCAAGTGCCTTGCTCCTTAACAGGGCAATGTCACATTTACCCTTTTCACATGGTGAACTTCCAAGTAAGAGATATTTTGATGAACAAGTTCTAAGTTTGAAAAGTGCTGCCCTAATGCATTTTATCACAGAAGCAGCAAATGAGTTTTCTATAAGTGCTTTAGAGACGGGCTATACGTGTAAGGTAACCTGGGTATGCCTATTAGGACAGTAAGAAAGTCAGTGGTCTCCAATGATTCATGTAAATACTGCTGCAAAAATGTGATCGTACTTTTTCTTGGCAAAAGGTTTTCATTTAGACTACTTTCCGTGCAAAAAAAATTTATCATTTACCAAGAAATCATCTTCCTCTTTAGGATTATGACAACGATGGCAAAATATCTTTTGCAGACTTTGAAAGAGCAGTAAAAGAAGACACACTTTTGTTGGAGGTGTTTGGACCATGTTTACCAGAAGCACAGGTAGTTAGAAATGCCAAGCACCAAAATTAGTTGAGGGAAAAATATAAGCAACTTACAACCATAAGGGTCCAGAAAGTAATACCTGTTGGATACTCCCCTCTGTAGGGCTTCAGCCCACTGTTGTTTAGATGAAGTCTGGCAACCATGAAGGTCTTGACCCAATCCTAAGATTTGTGCCCCTAGGAAGATACTAGTAACTATTTAAGTGATGATATTCAACAAGCTTTTATTGACTTTGTCACCTTGATAACCAAACCAAACTCACTGCCACTGAGTCAATTCCAACTCTTATCGACCCCCACTGCATTTCCAAGGCTATAAATCTTTATGGAAGTAGATGCCTCATCTTCCTCCCACGGAATGCCGATGGATTCAAACCTCATACCTTTTGGTTAGCAGCCCAGTGCTTTAACACAGAGCCACCAGAGCTGCTTCTCCACATACAATTCTTGATTTTAAGTATGACAGTATTTTCCAAAACCAGAGTGTATTGACTGACTTTTGAAAAAAGGAAAGATATAATTATCGTAAAGTGGATCAGCAAAGATCCAATAGAAGAGTACTTGAGTTGTGAGAATGTATCTTTAAAAATTTTGGACACATGTATAGTATTGTATTTGCACTCATGAAGGTTATTCATGTATGAGGCTGACCAGAGTTTTCTGATCTGGAAGGGCCAACTTTTAGTTGATTTATTTGGCTCATAAAATGTCTTCCTTAGTTTTCCTTTGATTAACAGTACTTTGCAAACACATCTGATAAAAGCAGAAACCTCAGCTCCACTGTAGTTAATTCCCTAACGATATTTTAATTCTCTCTAGAAACATGTAGTAATATGTGAATAGCAAACTTCATTAAGAGACTGCTGGCAGAAATCAGTACAGAAGAATGAACTGCAATGGAGTAACTACTTAGGATGGAACAACTAACAGTTCTTCAGCTGCTCCCAGAGGCCACGTATAGCCAGGTTATCCAGGGCCTTGCTGCTCAGTGTGCTCTGTGCATCAGTAGCACTAGCATCACCAGGGACCTTGTGAGAAATCAAAATCTCAGGCTCCACTAAAGGCATGATCCTGAGGTGATTTATAGCACATTAAAATCCAGGAAGTCCTGATCCAGACAGAAACTTGCTCCTTCAAATTCTATGCTAAGATTCTATAATCTTTTACCTGTGTTTTCAGTTAGGGAAAAAAAAAAAGCTCTGGTGGCATAGTGCCTAAGGCATTTGAGTGCTAACCAGAAGGCTGGTGGTTCAAACCCATCAGCCACTCCTGGGAAGGAAAATTGGGCAATCTACTTCCACAGTGATACCACCTTGGAAACCTAAGGAGGGGTCACTAAGAATCAGATCTGACTTGTCAGCACTGAGTTTAGTTTGGTGTATATACACACACATATATATCTAGTTAGGTAACATGCAATTAGGGCCAACCTCCTTCCTGGAGCTTCTTTTAGTAGCATCCACCATGTAGTGTCATCCTAGCAAAAGTGGATCAGTAGCTCATGATAACTGAGGTTGAACCTCATTCACTGATATGTTTAAATTCAATCCACTAGGCAACAGGCACTGAAGGATAGGTGAAACAAAACAGACATTTGATACAGGCCTTCTCAAATCAATCTGAACAATAACAAAACGGAAACAGCCTGGACGCACTTGATTTCCAACTACATGGTCCACTCATTCAAAAAGAGAAAACAAAACATAGATGTGCCAAAAGTAGTCACAGGACTCTAGCATTTACAAGTACTGTTTTTGTTTGTTTGTTTTAAATTGCCATAGGTAAAGCAAATTCTCAGAATTTAAAGCATGTAAGATTCTATTTCAGCTTTGTTGTAATAGTTTATTATTAACTTTTTTACTTTACAGAATTGTCTTGATTTTGAAGTCCTGGCATTCAGCAATATCCTGACTTCTGGTTTGTGAATGTGAATCACAGGCCTGTTTCCACTTAACTACAGATCTTGAGGAGGTTTTCCACATCATTAAGAAAATCAGAAACAGATCCTGGCTGCCTATCTTTTATTTATATTGTAAAGACTCTACATTTGACTCCATTCATTTACATACAGTCACACTGTAATGTGAGAGGTAATGTTATATAACAATTTTCAGATATGTATCAAAACATTTAAAGAAAGGCAAGCTATATTTGAATAAACAGCATGAATGAAATTACAAAGTAGAGTGCATTAAAAAAATACCAGCACTGAAATCTCAATTAAAATGACAGATTAAAAAGAATAAATAAATATTTTCTTTAGAAAATATTAATTTCCTGCTGACAATCTATATTCTTCTTCTTTGTTTCAATGGCTGACTTGTACTCAAATCTTCTAGTTTGTCCTCTGAAGGCTTTGGCACAGGTAAGATTACCTAGTTTGGAAAAGAAAGAAAACCATCAAAACTTAGTAGTCACTGTACAGGAGTAAAGGGGCAGTTATCCACTAGTTCAATCCTGGCCGTCAAGATTGAGTGCTTGCCCACGTTCCAGGTACAGCATACAACCTGGGCACACAGCAAAGTTTTCTATCCAAAACTGAATGGAGTAAAATTTCTAAAGCCATTTAACAAGAAAAAAAAAAAAAAATGTAAGGGGAGAAAAGTGAATACACAACCTAATTCTTTTACAGCTCTTATTTTATGGACACAGGTATATATCCTGGTTATGTGTAACCTGAAACAAATGTTCAATATATTTAGATACATGGAGGCTTGAGATGGAGAACTGAAAATTTTGAAGAACTGAATAGAAAACAGTTTAAGCCTTCATTTTTTCAGGGAGAAATAAAAACCAAAATACATCATCAGAGAAAAAGTAGACAGTAAGTCAAAGCAGACTAAGACACTCTTAGCTTAAAATGGCAAATTATTATAAACTAGGAGCTCTGGTAGCGTAGTGCCTAAGGCACTTGACTGCTGACCAGAAGGCTGGCGGTTCAAACCCACCAGCCACTCCTCAGAAGGAAGGTTGGGCAATCTACTTCTGTAGTGATACCGCCTCGGAAACCCAAGGAAGGGTCACTATGAGTTGGGTCTGACTTGACGGCGTACAACAACAACAACAACAGTAAATTATATTTAGCATTTCTAAATAATAATGCTATGCATGGGGTCGCTATGAGTCAGAAATGACTCGACGGCACTTAACAACAACAAATAATAATGCACAAACAGCAGATATACATGCGGACCTCGCCAGATGGAACACACAGGAATCAGATCAACTACATCTGTGGAAAGAGGTGATATAGAACAGAAGCTCAGTATCTCCAGCCATAAGGTTTTCCCTGGCCAATTTGAGAAGTGGACGGCCTCTTCCTTCTTCCTAGTCTCTCTCAGTCTATAAGCTGGGCTGTTACCCGTGTACCAGGTGCATTTCACTGGGTTTTAAACACCAGAGGCTCAGCCTCAAAGCTCATGTCTACATGTCACCACAGTAGGACAAACCGACAGACAAGTTTGTCTTGCTGTTGGAGACCTCTCGTATCACCCCCACCTGGGTCCCTGTGGCTGATTGTTCCTTTGTCTGGCTTCCTGGCTTTTAATCCCCTTTCTCCTGCTCTTCTGGCCTGCTGCTTTGGGCATCCCTGAGTTGTCTCTCCTCACCTGTATCCCTGGGGCTTACCGCTCTTCTGTCCGGGTTCCTGGCTTTTATCCCCTTTCTCCTGCTCTTCCGGCCTGCTACTCTGGGAGGGCCTGAGTTTTCTCTCAGGCCCGCCTAGAATTCCCGAGCACTTGATTGTACTCATGAGGAATCTGTGCCTTGACCAGGAGGCTGTCGTTCGAACAGAACAAGGGGACACTACATGGTTTAAAATCAAGAAGGGAATGTGTCAGGGTTGTATCCTTTCTCCACACTTATTCAATCTATATGCTGAGCAAATAATCCGAGAAGATGGACTATATGAAGAAAAACGTATCAGGATTGGAGGAAGAATCATTAGCAACCTGAGATACGCAGATGATACAACTTTGCTTGCTGAAAGTAAGGATGACTTAAGGCACCTACTGATGAAGGTTGAAGAATACAGTCTGCAGTATGGATTATGTCTCAATATAAAGAAAACAAAAATCCTCACAACTGGACCAATGAGCAGCATCACAATAAATGGAGAGAAGATTGAGGTTGTCAAAGAATTCACATTGCTTGGTTCTACAATCGATGCCAACGGAAGCAGCAGTCAGGACATTAGACAACGTGTAGCATTGGGAAAGTCAACTGCGAAGGAACTGTTTCAAGTGCTAAGAAGCAAGGATATCTCCTCGAGGACTAAGGTGTGCCTGACACAAGCCATGATATTTCCAGTCGCCTTGTATGCATGTGAGAGCTGGACAGTGAATAAGGAAGACCAAAGAAGAGTTGATGCTTTTGAGTTGTGGTGCTGGCAAAGAATGCTGAAAGTACCATGGACTGCTAAAAGAACTAACAGATCTGTCCTGGAGGAAGTGCAGCCAGAATGCTCCTTGGAAGCAAGAATGGCCAGACTTCGTCTCACCTACTTTGGTCATGTTGTAAGAAGGGACCATTCCCTGGAGAAGGATGTCATGCTTGGTAGGGTGGAGGGTCAACAAAAGAGGGGGAGGCCTTCAACGAGATGGATTGACAAGGTGGCTGCGATGATGGGCTCAAGTATAGCAGGGATTGTGGGGCTGGCGCGGGATCGGGCAGTGTTTCGTTCTGCTGTGCATGGGGTCGCTATGAGTCGGAAACAACTCAACGGCACTTAACAACAACAACAACATCTCCAGCCAAAACAAGACCAGGAGCTGACTGTGGAACAGACCGTCAACTGCTCATACGCAAGTTCAAGCTGAAGTTGAAGACAATTAAAATAAGTCCACAAAAGCCAAAATAGGACCTTGGTTATATCCTTCCTGAATTTAGAGGCCATCTAAAGAACAGATTTGATACACTGAACACCAGTGACTGAAAACCAGAGGAATCATGGGATGATATCAAGAACGTCATCCATGAAGAAACCAAAAGGTCATTAAAAAGGAAAGAAAGAAAAGGCCAAAATGGGTGTCAGAAGAGACTCTGAAACTTGCTCCTGAACGGAGAGTAGCTAAAGTAAATGGAAGAAATGACGAGATAAAAGAGCTGAACAGATGTTTGCAAAGAGCAGCTTGAGAAGACAAAGTCAACTATTATAAAGGAATGTGTACAAAGACCTGGAGTTAGAAAACCAAGAGAACATGCTTGGCATTTCTCAAGCTGAAAAATCTGGGGGCAGGGGGGGACAGGCCTCAAGTGGCAAAATACTGAATGATACAGGAAACAAACAAGAAAAGGATGGAAGGAATACACAGTCACTACACCAGAAAAAAAGTTGGTCAATGTTCATCTATCTCAGGAGATGGCATATGATCAAGAACCAATGGTATTAAAGGAAGAAGTCAAAGCTGCACTGAAGGAATTTGCAAAAAACAAGGCTCCAGGAATTGACTGAATACCCATTGAGATGTTTCAACAAATGGATGCTGTGCTGCAGGCACTTACTGATCTATGTCAGAAATTTGGAAGACAGCCACCTGGCCAACTGACTGGAAGAAATCCATATGTGTACCCATTCCAAACAAAGGTGACCCCACAGAATGTGGAAATTATCAAACAGTATCATTAATATCATACACAATAAAATTTTGCTAAAGGTAATTAAAAAATGTCAATATACTGACAAGGAACTTCCAGAAATATATGCTGTTTTTAGAAGAGAACGTGGAACAAGGAATATCACTGCTGTTGTTAGATGGATCTTGGCTGAAAGCAAAGAATACCAGAAAGATGTTTGTGTTTTATTGACTATGCAAATGCATTTGACTGTGTGGATCATAACGAATTATGGATAAATTGAGAAGAATGGAAATTCTAGAATACTTAATTGGGCTCATGAGGAAACTATACATAGACCTGGAAGCTGCTCAAACAGAACAAGGGGATAACGCATGGCTTCCAATCAGGAAGGGTGTACGTCAGGGTTTTAACCTTTCACCATCCTTATTTAATCTGTATGCTGACCAAATCTGAGAAACTAGACTATATGAAGAAGAATGCAGCATCAGGACTGGAGGAAGACTGATTAACAACCTGCAATACGCAGATGATACAACCTTGCTTGCTGAAAGTGACGATGACTTGAACTACTTACTGATCAAGATTACAAACTACAGTCTGCAGTATGGATTACACCTCAACATAAACAAATATCCTCACAACTGGACTAATAAGCAGCATCACGATAAATGGAGAAAAGACTGAAGTTACCAAAGATTTCATATTACTCGGGTCCACAGTAATATCCATGGAAGCAGCAGTCAAGAATCAGGTGACCTAGTGCACTAGGCAAATGTTCTGCAAACGACCTCTTTAAAGGGCTGAAGAGCAAAGATGTCTCTTTGAAGACTAAGGTGAACCTAACCCAGGCGAAGGTATTTTTAATTGTTTCATATGCATGTGAAAGTTGGACAATGAATAAGAAAGACTAAAGAAGAGTTGATGCTTTTGAGTTGTGGTGTTGGCAAAGAATACTGAAAGTACCATGGACTGCCAGAACTAATAAATCTGTCCTGGAAGAATTGAAGCTGGAATACTCCTTGGAAGCAAGAATGGCCAGACTTGGTCTCACCTACTTTAGTCATGTTGTCAGAAGGAACCTTTCCCTGGGGAAGGGTATCATGCTTGGTAAAGTGGAGGGTCACTGAGAAAGAGGAAGGCCCTCAACAAGATGGACTGACACAGTGGTTGCAACAATGGGCTCACTTATAGCAAGGATTGTGAGGCTGGCACAGGACCAGGCAGTGTTTCATTCTGTTGTACACGGGGTCACTATGAGTTGGACCTGACTCTACGACACCTAACAACAACAGTATATTGTTTAGTGTTTAGTATTTCTTTTTTTGGTTCCACCATTTCTTTATCTAGAATTTTGACCTGTAACTTCTTCCTTGAAAGTGCTGGTTCTTATGGCTGAGGCAGCTCTGTAAATCTATGGCTCATTTCAGTAGTATCTGAAGGAAGTGAGGGTGTCAGCAAGAACTAAAAAACTTGAGAAGCATAAAAATTATATCTATGATTTTTTATTATGAAATAACTTCTCATCCTTAATAATCATCAGGTAACAGGCTAAATGATCAAGTATTATAAGGAGGCAAAAGGGAATACACCTATGACCATATATAAGTTTGGCAGATGGTATTTCTCCATACATATTTGTATATGCTGTTAAGAATGTCCATAGATAGAACAGAGATAAGAGGGAGCAAAATTGTAACTTCTTAGCCAGAGCCAAAGACCTTGCAGGAGTGAGTCACTATATGTCCATGGTGTTGGGACCATGAGTCACAGGGGACATCACCTCAACTGGCATAGCATACTACATAAAACATAGCTTTACATCCTTATTTGGTAAGTAGCGACGGGTCTTAAAAGCTTGTGAGCAGCAATCTAAGATGCAATGATTGGCCTCTCCTTGTCTGGACCAAAGAAGAATGAAGAAAATCAAAGGACACATGGAAGGAATTAATCCAAGGGACTAGTAGAGCATGCAAACCTCAGCATACATGACCCTGAGACCAGAAGAACAAGATAGCGCCCAGCTACCACTGCCAACCACTCAGAAAAGAATCAGGGTAGGAGATCCTGGATAGAGTGGGAGGAAAATGTGGACCAAAACTCAAAATTATAAAAAAAGACCAGGCTTACTGGTCTGACAGAGACTGGTGGAACCCCAAAGACTATGGCCCCTAGTCAACCTTATGGGCCTGAAATTAACTCACTCCTGTGGCTTCCAGCCAAACAATAGATATGCATGCAAGGTGAAAAATTACACCAAGTAGGTACACTCCTTAGACCCATGGGAAGTCAGAAAGGCAGCATTTGCACAGGGAGATAGCTCAGAGGGCAGGAATGCACAGGAAAGAGCACAGGGAAAAAGTAACCAGAGGGAGGAAGAAGTGGGAAGGGAGCTGTTACATTGTAGGGACTGTAATCAATGCCATGAAACAAAATGTGTACCAACTGTTGAATGGAAAATGAATTTGCTGTGTAAACTTTCACCAAAAACATACACACACACATGAAAATAGTAATTGTCAGGTAAAAAGTCTACACAAAAACAGGAATATAACTTCCTTGTCCCCTTGAGTCAATTCCTGTAGCAACCCTACAGGACAGAGCAGAAGTACCCCAGAGGGTTGCCAAGGCTATAATCTTTACGAAAGCAGACTGCCTCATCTTCCTCCCATGGACAAGCTTGTGGGTTCAAACTGCCAAGTTTTCAGTTAGCAGCTGAACACTTTAACCATTGCACCACCAAGACTCCTGTGAAACTGCCTTCTAAACAAACCAAACTCACTGTCATTGAGTCAGTCCCAACTCACAGCAACCCCTCCTTGGATTTACAAGGTGGTATCACTACTTCCTCCCTCTGGTTACTACCATTAACTCAACAGAGAGAACTGTAGAAAAACACATGAAAAGATTCAAAATGTAGAAAAACAAATTACAATCCTATAGTTCTCACAGATGACTGTCTATTTACTTACTTGTTAATCTTAGATCAAATAATCAAGATAGTTTTGAAAAATGACCTTACCTCTTTAAGTTTATTCCGAATTAAATGTGCCGTCATATTCAATGAGTCATCGTGCATATCTACTTTAGGTGTGTCTGGTAATTGAGGTCCAATCATAACCTCATTACTACTAGTGCTTGTTTCAATAAAAATTCCAAGTCTACGGTTTTCTTCTCTTCTTCTTTTCCGCTCCTGCAGCTGTGTTGTCCTAGGCATAAATCTGTCAATTGCCTCTGACGGAGTAATAACCTTTTGTGAATCTGGGAAGGCCACTGAATCTTTCAAAGTTTTCATCTGTATTTTCTGCAGAAAATTATTGTAGCTACAATGCTTCACTGTTTCATCATGGTTTCTACCATACTGAGAGGAGCCTGATGCTCTGTTCACATGCTGCCCTGATGAACAGGTACTTTTTGAGATGTGACATAAAGGCAATTCACAAGAATAAAGATCAGAGTTCCCAGCAGAAGTGTTCAAAGCAGCGGCACCAAATCCAGACGTCTGCGAGTGGAAGTCCTGTCTGGAACCTCTTCTGTCTTTAGGCTCTGTATCCAGCTTCCTCTTTGCTGTGTAATAGTCTTTATGGTACAATTTAAAAGGTAGGGTAAAGGGAAATAGAAGTGGTTCATTTATTGTGTTCATCATTGAGAAATATAATTTTAAAAACAAACATTTATCATTTTAAAATCATGTTAACAAATGCTACTCTAAAAATTTATTTCCTGAGCAGGCAACACATTTATATGGTTTAAAAGTAAAAAAGATAGACAGGTATATAGCATAAGTTTCACCTTTTCCTTGCTCCCCATCTGTCTAATTTCCACCTCCTCCATAAGTAATTACTATTCTTATTTTTAAATTTATTTGTCCAAGGTATCTTACTTTTCCCATCAACCTTTTTCCTTTCCCCTCAGAAGGAAACCTGTAACACCTATTTCTCTGTACCTTGGCTTTTTCTATTTATCCTGGAGAGTTTCTCCACATCATTACAGAGAGTTCCTTATAGCTTTAAAGTATTCTACTGTATGGCTGTATCATGCTACTTAATTTGTGTTTGTCTGTTGGTTTTTAAAGTAGACAATGTGCTGGGCCCATTTTCAGGGCCTACACTGACCTATTCCCTGGTTTATCCTCCCAAATGCAGACTGTGCCACCAGAGAAGCATGTCGAAGGTGTGGTAAAGATCAAATAAGACTATGTGTTGGTAATTACTGAAGTTATTAATATATGGGAGGTACATTATTCTAGTCCGTCTTCCTTTATGTCTTACAAGTTTTTTTAAAACAAGTGAGACCATGTATGCAAATATACTATGTAGATTCCAGAATACTGCAGATGAAAAAGCTTAACTGAACTGTCCAAGGCCAAAGAAACCCATAGTTCAAATACAAACACTGTGTCATGCCACAACTCAAAGCTGGAGCAGTACTGAGACCACCAGTAAGGTCAGGGGCTGAGAAAAAACGTCTTAAGAAGGGGTACAAAGAATGAAGAAGATGCTAGACTTGCATCACCAACACAAATAAAGCAGTTCAATAATAAGCTCTGAACAGAAAATCCAAAAACTTGTGTTCTAATTCTTATTTTGCCCCTAACTTACCTCTAGTGATATAGACCAGCCACAAACTTTGAACCTTCATTTCCTCATCATGAAAAATAAGGCACAGGTCAGATGATCTCCAAAGTTTTTCTCTACCCTAGTATTTTAAAATTTCCTTTGCCACACACACTACTTTTCTTGATGCTGGCTGTTTACACATCCTATAAGTTAAGAGTTCAGTGTCTAAAAATGAACAAGGACTCTCCACAGCCCTCTGGTTAGATGCCCAAATTTTCCCAGGAGCGCCCCACATTCCTTCTTCCTTTCTTCTCTCTTCACGACTGCTGCATGCCCCTCCCCAATTAGTCATAAACTCATAATGTTGAATAGATCTATGGATACTATGTTTTTTCAGCAATAGTGTAGGAATCTGGTTATTTGAGTCTCTAGTCCTTAGATTTCAAACCACACGATTTAGTCCAATTTTGCCTGCTTTATTATAATCCATGTACCAGATCTCATGACCCCATTCCAGGTATTGGAATTTGTGTCTGGGACAACTCATTTGGACATGTGGGGCATTTGGTTACTTGCTGGTCAAAAGTGGAACAGGTCCATGATGATCAGCAGTCGGTAACTAGTCTGCAAAACATAATTGCTTCTACTGCCTTCGGGTCAGGTCAAAGCTTTAATTAATCCCTTAGAATGGACAAGAGGACCTCAGTGATTGCTTCCACTTTTCCAGTCTGATCTTTTACCACAGCCCCTGTGCTTTGATTATCCTATACTATCACAGTTCATTAAAGGCAAGACACTCATTTCTTCCTCTGGGCCTTTAAACATTCTGTGTGGCTCACCTTCTCATCTCTTTCTCGCTCCTTCCAGTTTATTTATCGTTACTATTTATCATTCAAAACTCAGCCACCCCACATATCCTGTCAGTAGTCCTCCAAGCACCAACATCTCTCCTTTCCTAGCCCTGTTTATGTAAACTGCACAGAACCCTGAGGCTTAGGATTATTTAATATCGTGGCTGTTTACTTGCCTCTCCTCCCACTAGCATGGGAACTCCATGCTGGTAAACCCAGCAAAGGTCATGATACATAGGTGGTGTTTAGGAAAAGACTTTCCATACCTTTATTTTTAGTAGTTCTTGCTATATAAGACTTCCTCTCTTGTAACTTTTTTCTAGTTTCTTCAACTGTCTCAAATTCTGGAGCATAGCACACGTGAAGCAATCCACCAAAAAAACTCTGTTCATCCATTTTTCTCTTGGCTGTCCTAAACAAATAGACGATCACATAGTTTATTAACCAAGATTTATTTAGGACAAAAGCTTAACTATTATACAGTAGGTTGACCTAAAGAACAAAGTCCACCTTTTGCTATGTGCATACACGTCCTCCTGGTCTGGGAATTAAATTAAGACGTGATGCATGTAGGTGGTACTAACCCTACTGATCCAGGCCTGTAGTACATACTCTTGGAGACCTTTTCCCCATCTCTCAAACAGTGTTCATAGATTTTAAGCTAAATTATTCACATATATCCAGACTCCCTTTAAGCAATTTAGGACCCAGTTGGCTGGCTTGAGGTACACAATCTGTAGCCATTAAACAGGGCTTTTCTCTGTGTTAAGCTAAACAGCCCTTGAGAGTTACTTCATACCCCACCTCGACTTTTCAGCATACTGTGTTCCTATAAATGGATTCATACATTAAAATATTTTAAATATTGTGAATATAACATAAGTATTATATAACATAGTATTTTTTTCTGTGTCCATGGTAAGAAATACTCAGTTTACCACGTGCCAGGCAGTTTCCTCAAAGCTTCACTTGAATTTACATCACAAAACAACCCTCTGGTGAGTTGCCAACACAGGGAGATTATATAACTTGGCCAAAGTCACACAACTAGTTTGGGTGTGTGATTCAAATCCAGATGCCTATCTAGAGCCCACTGTACTAGGTGCTAAAGAAGATGCAAAATCTCTAGAAAACGCCATGGGGAGCTGGTAAGATGGGTGGAAAATTAGGTTTCATAGAAGAGCAGCCCAAAAAGAACACATGATCCGATAGAATCAAGTGTTTCTGTGAGACTGTGAGTGCTGTGGGTAGCACAGAAAAAGCATGAATTGTTGTAGCTAGGGAAGGATAGTGCTCAGAGCAAATTAGTGACAAGAATAAGGGTCAACGTGAAAAACAGATGTGGCATTTCATGCGTCAGCCTTACTGGAGCAGAGAGCTTGTGCTATATAGCAGGCTGGACAAGATGGGGTCAGTTCACATAGGGCCAGAACAATAAGGACTTCAATAGTTAATGTCCTGCATCCTGAACACGAGATACTATGCTAAACCCTTTACGTGAACTGTCTCATTTCATCCTCACACAACCTCAAGAGGTTTACCAAACAGATTTTCCAGAAAAGGAAAACAGGTTGAGAGAGGTTAAGCAGCTTGCCAAAGTCACAAAAGCAGTAAGCAGTGGAACTGGAAAATTTACTATAAATCCAAATTCTCACCTACTACACAATACACTAAAAACTGTAAAGGCATGGGAATGACAGGATGGAAACAGTGTTTTGGTAAGGCTCATCTTTAAGAGGCTATCCCTGGGGAATGCAAACAGTTAAACACTCATCTACTAGCCAAAAGGTTGATGGTTCAAAACCAACCAGGGATGCCTTGAAAGATCAGCCTGGCCATTCTGCTTCCATAAGGTCAGAACCTTGAAAACCCCATGGAGCAGTTCTACTCTTCACATACGCGCTCTCCATGAGTTGGAACTGACTTGACCACAACTAACCACCACCACCACAACCACAACCTTTAAAACTGGAGGAAGATAAGAGAAGCACAGGGTTAGTTCAGGAAAGAATGAGAGAAACCTGAGACAACGATACCAATGGAATGGAGGGAATGAGACACTGCTTAACTTGCACATTACCTTGCACTCTGTAAATTTAAAAATTTAATAAGATAAACTTCTGTAAAGGCTTCTGCTGGGTATGCATCTAGAGCATTATACTGTTCAATTGCACCATACAAGGCAAATCGCTCAACTAATTCCTTCATGGCTCCCACTGCAGGAACTCCTTGTATTAATAAATACCGAGATTCCAAATTGATTGTATATACCTAAAAGAAATGCAGATTGATTAAATGTATTCCACAAATAAACCTGGAACAAATATGTCCTAATTTATTAAAAACAACTTTGAAAACATTATTCTGTTCAGCACAGTCTGCACAAAATATACAGAACTCAAATTTCTGTCAGTCCCTCTGCATAAATAAGTCATCCTACCTTTGTGGCCCTCAAACAAGCATACATTGTACTACCTTCAGTTGACAATTTCTCCAGACATTAGATGAGTAGATGTTGTTCACGTTTCTGGGAAGACTCAACTAACAATACTTACAGCGCGCTTACCACGTACCAAAGGAGCTCTAGCGGCATAGTGGCTAAAGCATTAGGCTGCTAACCAAAAGGTTGGCGGTTCAAACCCACCGGCGCTCAGTGGGGAAAAAAAAATATGAGGCAGTCTGCTTCCATAAAGATTTACAGTCTTGGTAACCCTATGGCTCACTTCTACTCTGTCCTATAGGGTTGCCATGAGTCGGAATCTCCATGGCAGTTTTTTTTTTTTTCCTTTGGGGGGCGTGCAGGGGTACCATATGCCAAGCTCAGTTGTAAACACGGAAGATACAAGGAATAAAACAAAGCCCTGTTCCCGCGGAGCTTATGTCTTAGGAGAATTTTGGTGCTTGCCTCTCGGTTACTCACACCAAAGTCCAACGAGAGACGGGGCTGACAACAGCCTTGTCAAGCTTTCATCCACCTGGGCGGGGAAGGTGGAACGAGCACACAAACAGCTCCCAGGATAACAAATGGAACAAAAAGTACCTACCTTGACAGCGCGGGGCCGTCGTCCCTCCCGATACTTGGCGCGCGTGTCGCACACAGCCTTCTGGACATGATGCTCAAATAAGGACCCAAGCTCCCCACCACTTAACGCCATATTGTTAGCTTCAGCCCTCGCAGAGAGAACAACATCCGCCTTGCTGCATAGTCTTTTATCCAATAAAAAAGCCGAATGGGTCAAAGCGTGCCCAGATTGGCTGGAGAATCGACAGCGTCGGCCATCGTTTCCTGAGAGCGTACATATGGTGAAAGAGGTGCCTCCCCCTAGTGGCGCGGCGGAGAGTCGCGGAGGTGAATGAAGGCTTGCTTGCCTCTTCCACCGCCGGCGAGCAGCAAAGTGCGCCGCGGGAGAGGGGAGGGGCCGATCGATCTTCTCCGGGTCCGACGCCCTCGCCTGTCCCGGCACAGGTCGGCTGCGGCTCTAGGGTATCCTGCTGGACCGCGGCGCTAGCCCGCGATGTGGGGCAGCGATCGCCTGGCAGGTACAGGGGGCGTCGGAGTTGCCGTGACGGTGGTCTTCACCAACGCTCGCGACTGCTTCCTCCACCTGCCTCGGCGCCTCGTGGCCCAACTGCACCTGCTGCAGGTAACGCGCAGGCCCTGGCGGGAGCGAGGCCCCGGGACGCCGGGACAGTAGCCTGGGATCGTACTTGTTGGAAGCCTCGTAGGAACACTGCATATTCAGGCTTCCCCCGGAGCGGGCCACCGACTGCCTTCCCGGCGCCGCTGGTTGGTCCAGAGGCCAGATTGAAGGTCCCTCATGGGTAGGGCTGGTCTGAGCAGTGTATACATCCCACACCATGTCTAGTGCAGCCCCAGACGATTAAGTTTAACTTGCCTTATTCCCAGTCTTCTCTCGGTGAAACTGGTCTTTTAAAAAAACGAATAGTTTGCCTCTGCGTTCAGAAATACTTCATTCCGGGTTGGGAAAGTTTTTGAAAAGTCGTTGATTTTGTTTTCTAAAAAATGTTTTCCCTGCCAGAGATTTCCCGGTGCCTGCGCTGCTGCTAGGAGCCCTGGTGGCGCAGTGGTTAAAGCGCTGGGCTACCAACCGAAAGATCAGCTGTTCGAAGTCATCTACAGTTCCAGGGGAGAAAGGCGTGGTAGTCGACTTCTATAAAAATTTATAGCCTTGGGGGGCAGTTTTACACTGTCCTATAGGGTCACTGGGGGCTCTGGTAGGTAGTGCCTAAGGCGCTTGACTGCTAACCAGAAGGTTGGCGGTTCAAACCCACCAGCCACTCCTCGGAAGGAAGGTCGGGCAATCTACTTCCGTAGTGATACTGCCTCGGAAACCCAAGGAGGGGTGGCTATGAGTCGGTCTGACTCCACGGCACATAACATCAACATAGGGTTACTATAAGTCACTGGCCAGATGGCAATGGGTTTTGTTTGGCTCTGTGTTTCAGATGTTCTTACGGTTTTTAGACTTCGGCGCTGTTGACATTTTGAGCTGGATAAGTCGGTGGTGGTGGTGAGAGGTTTTTGTGCTGTACAATGTGGGTCTTTTAGCCGTGTACCCACTAGACGTCAGTAGCACACCCTAGTAGTGACACCCAAAAATGTCTCCAATCATTGCTAAAAGTCCGTGTGTGTGTGTGTGTGTGTGTGTGTGTGTAGGGGCGGGGTGTGTGTGTGGGTGCAAAATTACCCACGATTGAGCACCACTGATTTCACTCAGCTTCCTAGTGTTAGTGTATTCTACGGTCAGGACTTGCTGTGGTAAGATGGGGAAAGATTCATAGCCACACTGAAATGACCCTCCAGAAATGGCCACCCCTTTAATGTAAATGAATTTAATATTTTGAAATTAATGCCTTTAATTTGATCTGAATAAATAAATTTAATAATACTGAAACTTCCTAAAATGATAAGTCTTGGTTGTTATTAAGTTAATCTTTGTATTAAAAAATTATGTATGTGTAAAAATGGTTATGGTATATTGGGGAGTGCAAGAAAAGGAAACTGAATTGTGACTATAATACACAACTATGTAGAAAGTTAACTTGCTCATAGAAAAAAGAATGACCCGGAAATAGGCAGAATTGTGCATAAAATGGTTGTCTGTGGAGGGAATATCAGTACTTTTATTTTTCCTTCTAAGTTTATCTATTTTCCAAGGTTTTTATAATGAGTTTGTAATTCTTTCATAATGGAAAACGTTGTTTTTTAGTCCTTGGCCACAAATTTACGTATTTTATATTTGATGTTCTATTATATAATTATATTTTATAATTTATATTATAATATTGTAAAGTTTATACATATATGTTCCTTATAAGTATCTTTTCATAGTTCTGTGAACTTTTAAAATTTTAGTTTAAGAATCTGCATTTTATAAAATTTCTGAAAGAGTACAAAAGAAGTTATTAACAGTAATGGGGAACTGAGACCTGCCTTCATAGTTATCTTTTTGTAATTTTACCATGAACATTTATTACTTATGGGACTGCACATTGTATCCTGTTGGTGTTTCAAAATTGTAAAACTATGTTGTTTTTTAAGATTATGATAAATTTTCATTTGACTCATGTTTTACTAAAATAGTAAATTTATAGTTCATTTAATAATTTCTCTGATAGACTTTTAAGACCATTCCAAGATTTCAGTATTAGAGATAACATTGCAGAAATACTTTCTGATACAGTTCTTTTTCTTTTTCTTTGAATCAGCAATTTAAAATAAATTTTTGAATAGTTATGTATGGCTCAATATAGCATAAGTTCATTAGTTACTGGCATTTCAAGTCTTAAATGGTTAAATCCACTTATAATGCCATCATCAGAATGTAATAAGTTTCATCCACAGTATTGCCGGCATTGGGCGTTGGAAATGGTTTTAGCTTTTTAAATAGTATGACAAATGTGGATAGCAGAGCTGTCAACTTCTAAAGAACCTTTTGTATATGAGTGAAAACTTTTAAAAGCCTCTCTTCCCCATTTCTTATTCCTTAAATGAATAGAATCAAGCTATAGAAGTAGTGTGGGGTCACCAGCCTGCATTCTTGAGCTGGGTGGAAGGCAGGCATTTTAGAGAACAAGGTGAAAATGTGGCTGAAATCAACAGACAAGTTGGTCAGAAACTTGGACTTTCGGATGGAGGACAGGTGAGCACAAAGTGTGATCGCGGTGAATTTCTTCTAGTGTTAAATGGTGTGTTGTGGTTGGATGACATTGAGTTGATTAAAGTTGTCCACACCCCTAGGCAGAGTAGAACTGCCCCCAGTGGGTTTCCTAGGCTGTAATATTTAGGGGAGCAAGTGTCAGATCTTTTCTCCCATAGAGCAGTTGGTGAGTTAGGACCACCGACCTTTCAGTTAACAGCTGAGCGCTGAAATTGTGCTACTAGGGTTCCTTGTCATATAGTGTATCAGTGGAAATAAAATGATAAGTTCAGACTCATTTTTCAGGAGATGAGAAGACACTTAACTTGAATGTTCCTATAACCAGTCCAGGACATTCAAGTTGACTATACTGTGTGAAGTCGTTATCTTGCAATCTGCTATGTTCCCTAGTTGATTTTGTATCCTACAACTCTATTTTACTTAGTTTCCAAGTTCCCTGATTTTGTTTTGGTGTGTTTATTTTTCTTTTATGATTATTGATTTTTACTTACTGTTATTGAACTTCATTCCATTTGTTTCTGACAAATTTTTAACCTTCTGTCTTAGTTATCTAGTGCTCCTATAATAGAAATACCCCAAGTGGTTGGCTTTAAGAAACAAATTTATTCTCACAGTTTAGAAGTCTGGAAGTCCTGATTCAGGGTGCCAGCTCCAAGAGAAGGCTTTTCCCCTCTTTTGGCTCTGGGGGAAGGTCTTTGCTGTCAGTCTTCCCTGGGTCTAGGAGTTTCTCAGTGCAGGGACCCCAGGTCCAAAGGATGCACTTCACACCTAGCTCTTCTTTCTTGGTGGTAGTAGGTACCTCTGATCTCTGCTTCCCTGTTTACTCCCCTTTTGATCTCAGAAGAGATTGACTCAAGAACAACTTAATCCTGTAGATTGTACCCTGCCTCATCAACATAACTACCTACCTCTTGTCTCATTAACATCACAGAGGTGAAAATTTACAACATGGAGGATAATTACATCAGACAGCAAAATGGAGGGAAATCACATAACATTGAACATCATGGCCCAGCCAAGTTGATACATATTTTGGGGGGACACAATTCAATCCATAAAACTTTCCATGTTTTTTTTTGTTCTATAAAAATGACCTAAAAGAAGTTTGTTCCCTACTACCCAGTAATCAGGAGCTCTGGTAGCATAGTGGCTAAAGCACTTGACTGCTAACCAGAAGGCTGGCGGTTCAAACCCACTAGCCACTCCTTGGAAGGAAGGTTGGGCAATCCTACTTCCGTAGTGATACTGCCTCGGAAACCCAAAGAGGGGTCGCTATGAGTCGGGGCCGACTCGACGGCACATAACAACAACAACAATAAAAATTTTGTTCTGCAAAAGAGAACATGTTATTTCTCCATTTGTGTTTCTCTGTGAATTTGTCTAGGTGCTTAAAACCCAAAGTTCAAGGGTTCGTATCTATTTTTTCATTTTTATTATGTTTACCAACTTATGTCTTTTTAAAAATTTTTGAACTGCAGAAGTAATATATGTTCATTATAAATAATTTACAATTTAAAGTAAAAAGTGACTTTTTTTCTTTTCTTGGGCCCTAACCTTCATCACACTCCTCAGGATGAGTGTTTACTATTTGTTGAGCTCTCACTTGACCTTTAGGATTTAAAGAATGAGATCATGCATATTTGGGGCAACTTTTGTTATACAAAATATATATGTATTGAACATTTCTCTTAGTATATATCTTTGCACCTTTATATGGAAATAAATATTTAAAAATTGAATCACCAGTTCTAAGAGGCTGCACATTTAAAAATTTGATACATGGGACTAATTTGCTCTTTATTATCAATCTCTCACAATAGTACACAAGAGTTCCATGCCACTTTTTTTTTGCTGGTTTTGAACAGAGACTAGTTTTGTTCCTACATGTTTTTGATAATGAAAATATATCAGTGATGAGAAATCCATAACCTAGGACTAGTGCCTTGTTTATCTTAAATTTTTGCCAGAATCTT